CTCTCTCAGACTAGCAAGTGTGAAAATGTATGATGCCTCAGATGCCCACCTACCGCCCAGGCTACATTTCAAAATGAGATGTTCCAGTCGTTTCCTGTCAATATTCACATCAGTTTCCACTTACTGCGATCAGCCAGCATGTCTGACCTGTCGCGCCATCCGAGTGGAATGCTGTTTCTTCTCCCGAGACATCGGCGTCATCTTTCAAAATGAAACGACTACATTTTTTCCAGCGTGGATGATATTGTTTTCACCTCAGCAGTGAGTCTGTGTGTGTCTGTGTGTGTGGTATAACTCTGCAGTCTTTCTGCAGTCCTTCCTTGTCATTTGGTGTCTGATGTACATCTCAGAGTGTTCCCATTTAAAGCATGTCCTTGAGATTTTATATTTTCTGTGTGTGGTTTTTAGACAACAAAGTATTAGAGCAGAAAGGGAAAACAAACGTGCTGACAATCTCATTTGTGCTGGTTTTCAATTAAAACTACAAGTAAAAAAACTCTGGTTTGTAGTGTAACCGTAGTGACACCATCGCACAACTAAGCTTTGTAGTCGGTGTGCAAGCAGACGTGTAGCATGTAGCAGAGTGTCTCTAAATATGTCAGTTGCTGAATAGCTGTTGTCTTCTTGTTGTAATTTGTAGTGACGCTGAAATCTTTACACACGACTCAGTGAAATCGTAGATGACACTTCATCAACTCAGATCAGCATACTGTACCACAATAATACCGACTCCTGTGGGTTTGTAAGGGGCCGTGCATCTCAACAGCCCTTGATAATGTTGCCTTTGGTGTTTTCTTGATGTCTAACCTCTGCGGTGAGGAATGAGCACCTGAATAATGTGGTCATGAACCTGTTGATGGAGGAAGAGGGAGGGGTCGGAGGTGGAGGAGGCGCAAGGTTGAGCAGCGCTCGGCCTTTAAAGAAACCATGCATCACTTTATTATCTGACCACAGTGTCAGAGAGAAACATTAACATAAACTGTGACCTTCACCTCAAAAGTAGCTCTCGATTGTTTACTTCACAGTTTCAGATACTCAGTGCATCTGTGCACATGAGTTTTTCAGCTCACTTTCTTAATAGCTGTTTCCCCGCCCCCTCTGTTAACTGTGCACAGCCAATATATGTCTGGGGTTACAAGATGCCAGCAGGTATGGTTGCCGATTTGGCAGATACAATGGCAAACACTAAGACTGAAGAGGCACAAATGCAAGATAACAAATCTTGCAGTGCATTGAAAAAAGACACAAAATTCAGTGGCTCAAAGATCGCTATGAGAGAGATGCATCAATCAAAGCCAGAATTGATATGACAGCTTTTTGCTGCTGAAGCAGTGACGTCAACACCTGAAAATTCGTGGTTATTTGTCACAAACTTCAAAAATAAGTTTACCATCGCTTTTCGATATGGGCTGTGAGTCATTAAACAGCTATAACACTACTATTCCTCCTGTGGTTTGTCTGAAGTGTCGGAGAGCTGGAAGTGTTCCCGTTACTTAGCATTATTTTGACATAAGCGCTGACGCTTATCTATTTGATCACAGCAGTCTGTTACAGGATGAGATTTTAAGGTGACAGTGGACGGTGTCTTTATTTCCAGAGGCTCAAACGTCTCTAATGCGAAACAAAGAGTACAAAGAGTTTGTGTAACTAAATCTTATCTGATGTCAGTATGCTGTGTCTTCTGTGATCTTCAGTGTTTTTTTTGTTTGTTTTTTTCACTGCACAACACACTTAAATTAACATGAAGTGTTCCTCGAGTGGTTACATGAGGCAGGCTCTAAAAGTAAACGCTTTGTGCTTTTTGATATTACTTGAAACTTTGTTTATGAGGAGTTGAAGTGTAGGAAAAAAGGGGAAAAAGGAAAAGTGAGTCAGTTTCCAGAGATTCCCATGTTAAAATGCATAAATCTAACACATTAAAAAGATTGTCTTCACTAAATAAAACCAGAAAATGGGTTTAGTTTCTAACTCACCCATTTAGGATTTAGTTGATGCTTAAAGTGAGTCCAGTGGCCACTTTGATTGACTAGCTGTAGCTGATTGGTCTAAACCAGTGTTTCCCAACCTTTTGGAGCCGCGGTATATTTTTCACATTAGAAAAATCACACGGCACACCACCAAACAAAAGTATCACAAAAAGCACATTGATCATTTTCCCCTGTGCACCAGGTATAGCAGAATTAGCTCGGTTTGTCTCCAGGACACAGGTCAGATTTTTTCTTTTTAAATATTTAGCTATCGCTATTATGCCCTGCCTCTTCTTTTGTTTTACTGGCAGTTGGCAACTCACTTAATTAGAGCAGGTAGCTGTACTGCCTTCTAGTGGAAGAGAATGTAATTGTTCTGCCCGTTACTCAGCCAATCGCTGAGAGTACCAATCAGGTGGAACCAGATAATCTTCCACGGCACACCTGATCATTTCTCATGGCACACCTATATGTCGCTGCACAGTGGTTGGGAAACACTGCTCTAAGCTAAGCTAATTCAAGTGACTTCTTTAGCTTTTTTGGAGCATTTTAACAGAATTTTCTAGCATCAGTTGATAACTTGGCATTTAGGCACCTTATTCAAGTTTGGAGACTTCTGGCTCCAATGAACCAACATGGTGGTAGCAAAAATGCTAAAGTTAAGGTTTAGAAAAGCAAACAGAAGATGCTTTATAAACAGCTTAGTCTATTTTTCAAGTGCACAATTTTATGGGAGTTGTTACTGATTGATTTGGTTTTTAAGATCATTTTTCAAATGAAAGCTTACTTCAGAAGAGCCAATAAATGTCCTGTACGTTTGCTTAATTGATAGCAGGATTATAAAGTTGCTAACGCGGATGTACCCTTGTTTTATTAACAATGACCAGCTTCACTGTGATAGACACCTAGTTCAGCAGTCAGAAGGTCGGTGATTCTGTCCTTCATTGTTGACGATGAGGCGAACATGGGCAGACCTAGCAGTGATTTTTTTTTTTTTTTGTGTGTGTGAATCATTGATTGTAGTGTAAAATGCTTTGTGACTTGAAAAGCACCATATAAAAGCAGTTCATTTACCATTTCAGTTACAGCAGTGTGTTTTTTGTTGTTGTTTTTTTTTTAAAGAAATAAGGCACACACTTTGTTTGGTGGCCAACACTTATCTGGCCGCAGATCTTCGTCTCTCTCCACACTCTCTCCAGTCTTGCATGCTGCAATTTTCCTCACTTGTCTGGAACAGTGACGAGGTAACACCTCTTCCTAGATTCGCCACCACTTAGTATGCAGCTCAACCTCACCACTTTTGCAGTTTACTCAGAACACGGTACTCAGTCTGGGCTCTCGCCTTACTGACCTGCTGCATCAGGGGAAAAAAAGAGTTTTGTAGACCTTTATCTCACTGCTGAGGAGTTTCAGGCAGTTTGACCTCAGAATAAGTATACAACCTTTTACTGCGGTGGTGCATTGTTTGTGTGTGTATGGGCGAGAATTGATAATTATTCAAACTGTACTGTTTATTATAACCTACCTTTGGGTTAGGCAGTCATTTAGTTGCGTGCTTGTATTTGTGCTCCTGTTTACTCTAATTAGATTTCTCTTCATTCAAGTTTTTAATATTCCAACAGTGCCTGGGAAAGTTATTATCCTGCACAAATCAATATCGTGTCCAAATGGAGGACAAACACATGCTGAGAGGCAGGAAAAAAAAATCTATAGGCCTAATTAATTTGACACATTTTGCTATTTTACACAGTTTGCTATGAATAAATGAGGTGGCTTGCAGTTTCAACTCTGCATGCTGCACTCAATTTAGTATGATTTTTGCTGATAAAACTCCCCATCATATCAGTTTTTTTCCCCAATCGTTGTCAAATTCAAATAGTGTGACTGTGTTTGATTGAGTCTGCCTGGTGCAGTGGAGGTCTGGGAATAAGTGGTACTTGAGCCACTGCTAAATGTACGTTATGCCAGAGGGGGGAAAAATATTCACCATATATTAATTGATCTGAGGCAGTTCGCTGTAGCCCAAAGCTCTCTGATCTTGATGATTATGACACAGACACTTGTGAGCCATGCATTTATATACTGCATTTTTGAGTGCAAACGTATGCTTGCAGGGCTGTGCTGTGACTGTTCCTTCTATGTATACATCTGTTTTAACATGACAGAGTTTTTGGGATCCGCCACCATGAAGCTTTTTTGCCCCTGCTGCCTTCCACCCATTCACCATGCCACAAGTGTGTTTATTTTTAGCCCGTATTGTTCGAGTGGAAATGAAAGTCCCTGACATTGAATAGCTCAGATGTCCCCCGCTAATCTTAATCATACCTCCAGCAGCTGTGGCGCATCATTAATTTGGGCCAATTGGACATCAAGAAGGAGATGCTCTCTTCCTTATTGCTACTTGAACAGTTGAACCCACTGCTTCTATTACAGAGTCACTGTCACAGAGTGTATGAGAAAGATGGCGCATTCAGGTAACAAAGGTGAAACCAAGTGCAGCAGGATACTGCAAAAAAGACATCAGTAAACACTCTTCTGATATGAGTTCAAGCCCTAAAGTTAGTGTCATGTGGTATTTAATCAAAAATGTTATATAAATAGTGGTCCCATTTAGGCCAAAACTGACAATAAACAAGGGTCTACTTTAGGTTGAGGCCACTCTGCAATTGACCAAGTATATATGAGCATACAGTGTCCCTGATTTCTCAGTCTGATCCACCTTTTTGCTTGTTGTGAAGCAGCCAAGATGCTGAATTTTAGCTTCTAAAGGTGTCAAAAAAACTATGGCTGACTTTTTTTGACTGTGTCCATTTTTTATTTACACTTAATGGTCACAGTTTTGTCACCAGCAGCAGTGAGAGGTGACTGGTTTATATGCTGTATTTGAGAAATAATGATTAATTTGCTGCAGTCGCTGCTGGTTGTTTCTGAAAGGAATCAAATCTGAGCAGGAGAACACAGGTGCACAGAGAAAGCATTCGACTCGATGTGTTCGGTCTCCTGCCTTTGATTTCCTTTGTTTGACAAGTGGCTCTCGTTCAATGTCATCAGGTTGAAATTAAAAAAGGGTGAAACTAACAGTGATTATACAATCATTGCAAAAGCTCAAGCCATGGATTTCTTTACATACTGCAACATTTTTCACACTGTAGCAGAAGTTTATATAAATTTATATTATAAAAGTTTATGTAATCCAGTTTAAAGGATTTTGTCTTGTTTTAGGATTTGATTAGGAATCCAAGCAAATATGTAAGCCAAGAAAAAGAGGCTTTTAGAACTCGATCTCACGTTTCTTATAATTACACAACTAATGACAGGACTCTGTGGCTTTACAGCACAAAAGCTGGCTTCCTGTTAAAAGGGAGTTTGTTCTTCCCACTGTCGCCAAGTGTTTGCTTATGGGGGGCGGGGCTAGTTGTTGGGGTTTTCTTGCTATTATTTCACTGTCTTTACCTTACAATACAAAATGCCTTGAGGCGACTGATGTGATTTGGCACAATATAAATAAAATTGCATTGAATTGGAAAAACAATTCTTTAATTTTATTCCCATGTGACTATCATGTGTATAGTCCATGTAGTGGTACTTACAGGTATTCCTGAATTAATCAGTTAGTCACAGAAAAAAACCACACTAATTAGAAATGAGAAGTCTGTTCTTGTCACCCTCTGTCTAAAAGCAATGACCTCATGTTTCAAAAATTGCTCCAAATTTTGAATAATGAATCCTTTGTAAACTGCAAATGAGCCATCCAAGAGAGAATCTTGGCAGATGTAGTAATAGTAACTAAAGGGAAACAAACAGTCAATTAGAGAAGCAAAATGGAAATGTATCTATTAGCTGGTTTTCAAAGGGGAGAGGTTCTGTGGCAGAAGGGAAATGATGCATTTATTCCACCAGACGCAGCATCAGTGGTGTGTTTGAATAATAAACTTGGTAATAAACTTCAGCAGATGTTCGTTTAAACTCCACGTGTCTTTCTTCTCCTTCCTGCTGTTTTCTCTTATCTAGAGACACACCCCAAGCCAACGATGGCGGAGCCAAGACGCCACGGTCGAAAACTTCGTCACGTTTTCCCAGACTGGGCCGCAGGAACACCCAGGAAGCCAGACCTGAACCTCAGAGTGGTGACCTTTAACCCGAGGGCCTTCGAACTCAGATCTGGGGACGATGTTGCAGTGCCTCTGGACCGTGAACCACAGGCTCAAATGTGTGAAAGGACATTTGGAGCATCTGAAGGACACTAAAGGCGTTACAGATAAAACGCCTGTGTCACCTAAACCTTCACTGCAGGCAATTCCAGGAGAATATGAAAAGATTTCTTTGTGTTGCCTGGCTAAGTAAGGGATGAATTGCTCCCCTGAAACTGCCTATTGATGGACCCAATCAAATAGTGTCTTTTACCTCACTGAGAGACTGAAAGACTCTCTGCCAAGACTCTTTGTAAGACTCTATAAGCTGCACATGGACTAGCTTGGAATCCTCTCTATTTTCTCAAACACACTGGGATGATGGGGACATGTTGTTTTTCTTAAGTTTTGTAGTGAAAGTATTTCATGGTCACAGTGCCTACAGTATTTGTAGCTGCATTCCTGCTCTGGGTTGGTAGGGAACGGGTTTGCATGTGAAGGAGGTCAAAGGGGGGGATTAAAGTCTTTGGTTGGAAATGATTTTTTTTCTTTGCTTATGTTTCAGCATTTTAGTGCCATTACATTTTTGGACAACACTGATTCACCATCAGTGGCGTGGTGTGGACCACCAGGCAACGGGCATTCCTTCTTCCTGCTTCTGATATATTATATGACTTTTATAGAAAATCTGTGATATGTGTAACATAACTTAATGTTACCATGGGTGCAGTAATTATCAAAAGAAGTTAGAAATTCAATTTAATAATCACGGTAAAGGATTTGGTTTAAACACCACTGGTAAACTAAAATATCTAAGAGACTGTGAAAAAGTCTGGGGAGTCAGTTTTGCTTAAAAATGAAAAAAAAAGTCTCTCCTTTTTCCTTTCCTTCATAGTTTTTGAATAGCCCCTTGCTAAATGAATGAATTGCTGTAAATGAGTGTAAATCCATATGTCCTCTCAAAAATACATGATCACATAACCAGTGATCTTAGTTTGATGCACGGTTATAAGGTTTGGGATAACCACGATTGTGACTTAGAATAAAAGCAGCCACATTTTATGAGTAAATGCAAACATAATATTGACATAAATATTGGCCCACACCTCTTTATTTTCGAATTCAGGGGTTTTCAGTCCCATTGCCACAGGTCTATAAAATCAAGAACCTAGCAGTGTGCTCCACCTTTGCAAATTTTACAAACGCAACCAACTGTGAGAGGTATCACTTAGAAGAGGAAGCATTAGGAGAACGGCAACTCGAGCCACAAAGTTGCAGACTATGTGTAGTAACAAAGCAGTGTTGCCGAGTGCTGAGGTACACAGTGCACAAAAGTGACTCAATATCTGCAGGTGTTAACATCAGCTTAGAAACTGCACCAGGAGCTTCATGGCATCGGTTCCCATGATCGAGCAGCTCCTATGGATGTAATGAGATGGGCCAGTACATTTGTCCTTGTGTAATATCAATTCGTGTCGTACATATTTTAAGATTAGAAAACGGTAAAATAACAAAATACCACTAAAATTGACCAAATAACTCTTTTACCGAAAAAGTTGACTTTTCTGTAAAATGCTAATAAACAGAACGCGATCATCTGCAAAATGATTTCATGATATTGAAAATGATACACAAGAAGCACTGAGGCACATCTTGCACATTTATAAAGCACCATTAATGCTGACCCATTATTTCTCCAAGACAATGCGTTTTGTCACAACAGCACGGCTCTGTAGTGAAAGACTTGGGGAGTTAATCTGACCAACCTGCAGTGCAGACCTATTACTAAACTAAAACAAAAGATATGACAAAGGAGGCTCTAAACTGTGAAACATTAGAAATCTTATTTTTTTAAAAGTAAGATTAATAAAATATTTCACTTTTAGAACTACAGCAGCTGGTGTCCTCAGTTCTAAAATGATGCAAGTTAGTGGAAAACATTGTGTCTTTGGGACAAGAGACTGGCATCATATTTAAAACGGACACGTTTTCAAAAACATCTAGAAAAATGACCAGTTATAACATTGGATATGTTGTCCTTGCATCCATTTTCAAATAAATATGGGTCTTTAAATTATTTGCATATCATTGCACTCTGTTTTTAATTATATTTTAAACTGGTTTGTTTTTGGGAGGGGGGAACACGATTGTGAAATAGCTGTGTTTTGGAGGTTTACCCTCCTATTCATTATATAAATATGGGTGATTATCAAAGGTCGACTGACTGAACTGCAATTCAATATTTAATGATTGTTTTGCTAATGTGTCTTAGCAAGATTTTCATGCGGCGTTATGTTGCAAATGAATGTTTTAAAAATGACTAAACACTTGAAGAAAAGCTGCTTGTTAGAGTGCAAGCAAAGTGCTGCCAAGCATCAAGTGTGGTGTAAAGCAGGAGCTCATGCATATGCATAGATTACGCAAGAGTAGTCGGACTACGTTCAAATGAGTGATTGTGTTAGAAGGGCTTTGGGAAACTTGTATCAAAGGGGGCGGCTCGCAAAAGTGGTAAACACTCCTGACTATTGTTGATGGGAGGTTAACAGAATAAGCCTCGTGTGTTTTTAATTAAGTTGATATTCTAAAACACACAAAAAACGACCCTCACTAGTATCGAGCCGCTGCTAAGCACTCCAGTCGTGGCAGGAAACTGTCACACGACTTTCATCAATACATACAGGTTTTTAATCCCTGAGATAGTTATTATCATTCCTTTTATATGACTGTGATACAATAAAACACTGCAGGTGCAGAACTGCCTTATAGAAAATAAGCCCACAGATCATGATGTGTGTAATCTGTACTGCTAGCAAACATGTCGTGTGTTCATTGTAGTAATAAAAAAGCAGCTGTTCATTCATCAGTTTTACAGTGAAGGTGGGAATCATTTAACTTTTCAGCACAAATATTCATACGATATATGTGGTAGTGTCCTGTATAGCAACTGTATGCAGCATCAATCAGAAAGCCACCATCACTGAGCTTTAGACTGGGTGGTGCCCACATTAATCAAACAGCTCACACAGCTGCAGTTGAAGTTTAGGGTGCATTTAGCTGTTAGTGGCTAATATAACCTAAAAGACAGAAACAAGGAGCTAATTTATCAGATTTGTGCAGCTCCCGCTAATAACAAAAAGCTTTTGTGATTTAAGACTTAAGAAACCCTTAAAGCAGCTGATTGATACGCTTTGGGGTTTTTATAGCACTATGAAGCATCCATATACACGCTGTTTCTGTTTTGACCAAGGCTCCTGATCTCCTGTTGATGTAATCAATGCAGTATATTTAAAACTTAAAAAAAGCTTTGCAATTATTTTATTTTGGAGAAAAAGCACTCGATACTCCACAGGGCTTATTTTAAACCTGAAACTCTGTGACCACTGCTGCACATCACACACTTCTTTACGTATTTCAGGTAGTCTTAAAATGCTCAGTGGTGGAGCTTCCCTTCTTTTTGGGTAGAGTTTTCAGTACATCAGTATTCTTTCAAATGAGTCCATCTCCTTCCCCCGTAATTGCTTGCTGCACCTTGAGGCTGGTAACAAGAGTGATGACAAACAAAGAAAGTGAAATTGGCTTATTGAGTTGCAGCCAAACTGTTCTCTTTGTAGTATGCCTCGTGTGTTCTTATGTACTTTTCTGTCCTTGCCTTTTGTCGGCGGCCTGGCCTTATCCATCACTGTCACAGCAAAGAGGGACTGAACAATAAAGAGTATCGCATCTACGCTACCAACACTTCTGTGTCACTTACTGTCATTGTTAACATTGTCGCTCGCGTTCACGGATGAAAGCAAATCGTCCACTACATTTGTTGCATAATAAGCTCAGAATGCGAAGTCATGTCAGAGTGCATTTATGCACGCATGCAGATGGTGTGTGCGTGCAATTTAAATACAGATTAGGTGTGTAGTAAAGCGTAGATGTGTTTATATTGCGAGATGAACTCATCAGTCCTCCCATCACATTCTCTCTGTGAACCGTATGCATACATGGATGGATGCTGTGGATTTGATTTTCGCTGCATCTGTTTTCCTCTTGGTTTAATGAATACTTAACCTTCACTGCCTCACTAAGCATTCTCTGAGCTTTTGGGAAACACAGTTGCCCGTTTCTGGGTTTGCTGTGCTCAATTGGAATAGAGGGAAAATTTAAAAAAAGAACAGCAAGGGTGTACAAAATGCTTGTCGTCCATTGACCGGAAAATTGGTTACAAGCCCGTTTAGGATGTGGATGGCTGCTTAAACATTACACTCATTTGGCTGCATGTAAGTCAAGAACACCGAGCGTTGAGCACGAGACATGTTCTCTAACATTTCTATTGTTTTAATGGAATAAAATTGCCGGGCTTGGCTTTGGCTTTTATGAGATTAAAAAATCTAAGTGGTGCAAACCTGAACGATTGGGATGTTCCTGTGTTTTACATATACACTATATTACCAAATGTATTCACTTTCACGGCTACATGTGAAAATCAAGCACCTAGGCTTGCAAACACCTTTAACAAACACTTGTGAAAGAATGGATCGCTCTTAGAAGCTCAATGAATTCCAGCGTGGTACCAGGATGCCATTCGAGTCATGCCATACCAAGACAATTTAATGCTCCAAACTTTGTGGGAACAGTTTGGGGATGGCCCCTTTCTGTTCAAACATGACTGTGCACCGTGCACGAAGCAAGGTCCATAAAGACACGGATGAGCAAGTCCGGTGCGGGAGAACTTGACTGGCCTGCACAGTCTTCACCTTAACCAGACTGAACCCCTTTGGGATGTTAGGATCAGGCAGAAAAAAGAAGCTAGAAAGTATGTGGTACTAAAAGGAAACAGCTGGAGAAAAATTGTGCAACGAATTAGTTCAACTGTCATATTAGTCAGTTATATGGTTGGGTATAAAAAGAGCATCTTAGACACGCAGATTGTCTCAGACTTTGAATATCTCATCATCTATAGTACACGAAATGATCAAAAGAGTCAGAGAATCCAAAGCAAGGCTGAAAATCAGTATTGGACGCCTGTGATCTTTGGGGCCTCAGGCAGCACTGCCTTAAAATCAGGCATGATTCACTGCATGGGCTCAGAAACAGTTTCAGAAATCAGTCTGTGAACACAGCTCGCCACAAACGTAGGTTAAAGCTCTGTCATGCAATGAAAATGCCACATATGTATAAACACTGCCAACTTCTCCATCTCCTTCTTTTTAAATTAGATTTGGTTCAAAGTAAAAATCTGTGACGTGATCGGACAAAAAAACAGGAGACGTGTCATTCGGCTTGTTGTAAGCGCGTAAAACAAAAGCCTGCATCTCTGATGAGATGCATCATTATCTATGGAATTGGCAGTCTGCACATCTTGAAAGGTACAATCAGTGCTGGAAGGTATGTACATGTTTTAGGATGACACATGTTCCCATCCAGATGACATCTTTTTCAGTGTATCAGTGCGGCTTCATAGTCAAAGACTCCAAACTTGCCTGCAGTGCAGACCTTTTACTGGTTGAAAACATCTGTTACATCATGAAATGAGAGAATGGCACGACATTGTTCTCCCAAAAGTCTTTTTGGGAGATATTTAGTATGTTTATTTGCAAATTTAGCATTTTTCCTGGGTTTTTTTTTAAAAATTTCATAAAGAAATGTACCATGTTTCACCTTTTCATCCCCCGTCCACTTTTTCTTTGCCTCTCCAGCCTTTCCTTGAAGACACAGAGATCCTCGTGGGATCATTTTACGGGACAGCGTGTAATTACACAGCTATTACATTTGTGAGAAGAATCAAGGAGACAGAGACCCTGCTTTGAACAAGATCACTGTATAAGCAGAACTGCTCTCTTTACAAGACACACATGGCATCGGATTGCATGTTACTTATAACGACACGGAACAGCTTCACCTCTACCCCACTCTACCCTTCACCATAGTTATTTTGCATTTTACTTAGCATCCCTCTCCACTGTATTTATTTATCCCTACCTGTGCTTGTTAGGATTGCAGAGAATTTTCTATTATGCCAAAACCAGAATAAGCCCTTTCAATTAGCACGAGTTAATAAGTGGCAATTATTACTGTTTTCAGTTCCCTGCAGCCTGTGATTCAGCTTGGCTGTTTGTGTTTCTCAGTGTTTGGAGGTTTTGATTATTTGTCAGAAAGCACGACCTGCATCTGAGCGTGAGCATTTTTTTGTGTGTGTGTTCACAGTCTTGCTGTTCTTCAGCTGGCAGAAGCTAAATTAAATGTTCACTGTATCCCTGCAGGTGGGCCATGCCCCTCCTCTGCACCGCCAATGAACAGCACCTTCTCAAATTTTGCTCTCTCATTCTCTTCTTTCTCTCTGAGTCTTTTCTTCTCCTCTCTGCTCCCTGTCTCACCTTTGTCTTTTTATTTTCTTACCTTTTACCTTAATACCTTTTTCTGCCTCGTTTTTTCCTTCATTGTTGATTTTCTTCAGGTTCATCCTGCCCTCCTTCAGCCCCTCACCCTCTCTCAGAGGATGTTCATTTCTAACAGTGCTCTCCAATCCCCACCTCATCTTCACTCTCCATGTCTTCTTCCATTCTTCCATTTTCCACCTATAGGCAGCTGATTTTATCCTGCTCTTCTCTAGCCTCTCAAACCCTAAGACTACCTTTATCCTTCTCACACTGCTTCCCATCCCTTCCTGTCTTTTCAAGCCCTCCACCACTTCCAATCTCATCCTTTCTCTCTCTATTGCCATACCTTGTTCCCTCAGAGACTGAGCCTGCTTGGCACATTGTATTTACTCAGCCAGTCACTCTCCGCCTCTATTTATTACCTACTCGGCGATGAGGCAGGAGAGACAGAGTGAACCAGCCCTTCGGAGGATTTTCCTCTCAACTCTCCCTGCTGCCGTCTGTCGCTGAATCTTCAAATAGTGTCTTGGAAAATTGATTGTTTCAGGCTTTTCTTCACCCCCTCCTTTCATCTTTTTCAATTTATTCTGCATTGAGTGCAGACTCCTGCCTGTTACATCAAAGTTCACATAACCTGTAGTTATAAGGAGGGAGCAGGGGGTTCGATCACTTAAGGCTCTGATCAGAGGATACATTTCTGTTGTATCCTATCTAAATGAAATCCCAAGTTAAGCTGTAATGGATTATGTTAATTAATATGCTATCAGTTCTGGGAACATGGGAAATAAACTGTGTGCTTTATCCCTAAGCTGTTTATAAACGTCTCCGGTATGAAGGGAACATGCAGCAGCGTTAATTACCTAACTGATGTGCAGATTCTCATCATGTTGGGGGCCAGATAAGAAAAAAGAATCAAATATGCATGCGACATGGTATGTTAATTTCATGGTAATGCTTAAAGTACACAAGCAGCATGGATTGTCTTACAATTTCTCATTTGTTTTCACAGCTTCAGGTTGGGATTCAGCTCCTACTGCAGAAAACCAACAGCTCTCACGAGGCCCTCCTTTGTTTTTGTCTTCATTTGAGTTTTCCTTTAACCTGCCTCCTCCTCACAATGCAATCAGGTCCTGAACTGTGCTTTACCTGCCTCTCAAAGCTATCGCAGGCTTTCCACAATAGTCCATGGCACTCTTTTAATCAGCCCAGAAGCTTGATCAGAACACCTCGAAGTGCTTAAACTGCAGCAGGGGAGGAAGTGGGAGGTGAGAGGGACCTGCGTTGCGCTAACGATGCCGCTGCTAGCGCTGGCAAGGACTTCTGAAGGTGTCTGAGAACTTGTTCCAACTCAGAGGTGGAAATAATGCTGATTTCTCTAAATAGACTGCAATGTTAAGCAATGGAGGACATTTTAATGTCTCGCACTACTTCATAGTTTTGTTATGCGACTGGTGTGAAGCCCTGGAGGGCAAAAATGCTGTTACACTGCTGTACCCACCACCAAACACACACTGCATTGTATCATAGAGTACATGGCGAGTATGGTGGGAAATGGAAGCTGCAATAATACAAGCCTGACTAATTATCTCAGGTCAGCACGCACTCAGCTTTAACATCATTCAGGGTCCTAGGTTCTTTGCTACAGTACTAGCTTGGTGCTAGCATTTAGTCTCTGCAGACGCTTTGAAAGAGAATGTACGGTGGCCCTGAGAGGCCAAACGGACTGCAACTTACCATAAGGAAACACCAGCAATAAGGAAAACGCTGCAAAAGCACACAAAACACAACGGAAATAGGAAAAAACAGATTTCCAAAAGCACCGATGAATCCACTTCCTTTCACTTATCCCATTCAGAGCTATGGTTGTGTCGGAGGCAATCCCAGGTATCAACGGGGAGAGGCGGGGTACACCTTGCACAGGTTGCCAATTTATCTTAGGGCGAACAGACAACACTTCATTCACACTCACATTTACACCTACAATTTACAGTCACTAATTAACCTAACATGCATGTCTTTGTCCCCTGCCTGTCTTTTTTTGCCCAACTTCCCACAGCTTTTAAGAGCATATAACAGCTAGCAAACCCCATTTGATGATGTGCTGCATTCAGCAGCATAACTGACCTCTGCTGCATAGAAATAACAGCTCACTTCAGTAAACAAATGCAAATTAATTTAATTATTTGTATGTGTATACTTTTACCCTAAAATACATTTACAAATATTACTAACATCACTGTTTGATTTTACAGAATAAAAAGAGACGACCCCTCATTCCTTACTCTCGCAGGGATACGTACGCTGGAGTCATTCTTGGCATTTATTGTGTGGAGGGCACAGAAACACCTGGCAGGTGGCGACTCC